AAAATCAACGCGTGGAAGTCGTCTATGTTGCTGCCAGATCGAAACAGATACGAGTGTCATGATGTGACACATACACAGACTAAAGTATAAAATGTGTGAGGCTGCAGCAATGCTGGGAGTTCGAAGTAGACTAAAACCTGTGTTCCACGTGGGCGGTGGCGTTCCTATGGTAGCCCACAATTCAGTCTGAGTTTCACGTGGACCGTAGGCTTAGACACATGTATAGGGCAGCCACTGAGCACAGGCTCCACTAGACGTTCTAGATGCAGCCCTCCTGGAGTCCTGCGTGCAGTATGCCGTGTATAATACATGTACTTGGCACTACATGTACAGGGTATATTCTAGGACGAATTTCCAACCGGTTACGGTCCAATGAAGAGTCGGGGGGTGCGGGGTCCCCCCGGGAAATTTTTTTCAAAATACAACCCAAATATGGCACTCGACAGCAATTTAACAGATTTCTTGGTGCTGGAGTGTAGCAAAGATATAAGCAGCTCCATTCACCCACAGAAAAGTACGGGCGGTTGGAACTGATTTGTAACTTTTCAACTGGTCGCCAACAATTTCAACCGGTCGAAAACCGGTTGGGGCGGTTCTAGAAAATTCCCTGATGTATATACTTCAAAGTACAAGCTTTACGTACCGTGTCGACTCGTAGGGTATTTCCCCATTGAGCTGGTGGATGCTCACTGTGATGATTATGTGAAAAAAATGATTAAAAAATCCTACGCAGCATGTTTGCATTTAACCTGCGCTTGGCTGCAGGCTATCGTGATAATGGAAGACTCTGACCACATCATCCATGTAGTGTAGCTCTGAGAACACAGAGCATAATAATCAAGGGAATGCTTTTGCACATTTTTGCCAAAGTTGCTACCTCTATTCTGCAGTGCTATCACCTCGATAAATTGTCACACAATTTTTGTATTCTTTCTCTAGTGTGCAACGTGCAGATCTTGGTATATGAGCTTGATATCAATATTGCTGCATTGAAACAAATGTACATAATTTCTGAGACCTTCGGAAATACCCAATCTCCTCTGCTCTCTGTCTTGTTGATTATAGAAAAGATAAGTTGCTGCAATTGAAGGCTCTCAACTCAACTGCTATGTCAACCATCAGCATCAGCCTATCGTCGAAGCGCAAGCTTATGTCCATGGATTCTGAGGACATCCGTACGTCTAGCTTCAGCAGCCGCAAGAGGCCTCTCCAGCAACACTCTCCAAGCCTGGCCAGCGTGAACACATCCATCAAGGAGTGCATACGGTATGTCTGAGAGTATCTATCGCACAGCACACTCCACTGCTCTGGCAGCACTGTATACTATCAACATACATGTATGCCTCACAGCACACTCCACTGCCCTGGCAGCACTATATACTATCAACATACAGTAGACTCGTACGCCCAAGAACGCGGTTTCAGAGGGCCAGCCTAGCAAAGTTCTTATTTTTCAGCGCCCCAGGCTATGTTCTCATTTTGCGTTCTTACGCGTCCAACATGACCCGTGAGTCACGCTCATGTACAATGCACTTTGCGATATATAGCGCTACATGTACCGGTTGTACACTTTACGTGTAGTATGTAGCGCTGCACTGGGTGATGTTTTCGCGAGGACCCGACAAGAGTTTGTGGTTGCGGACTTGTTTTGCGTGTACTCGGACAAGATATAGAAACGTGCAATACCAAAAAATGTCGCGTTCTTAAAAATCTTGGAGTTCGTTCTTAAATCCAGGCTGGGGCGTTCTTAGATTTCCAGCCTGGAAGTTCTTGGGCGCCACGTTCTTGGGCGTACGAGTCTACTGTACATGTATGCCTCACAGCACACTCCACTGCCCTGGCAGCACTGTATACTATCAACATACATGTATGCCTCACAGCACACTCCACTGCTCTGGCAGCACTGTACACTATCAACATACATGTATGCCTGTGTCTTCTCTGCCTGTAGTGCTCTTCTAGGTGTGTGTGTGTGCTAACTGAGAGAATGTGTATCTTACCTCCTGGCCAGTATCACCATCTGCAATGTCACTGTGACCAATCCACACGCACGCACGCACGCACGCACACACACACACACACACACACACAACCCAATATCGTCCAGGTCATTTGCTATACTTTCTCTTTCTCCACTGCCAATTTTCTCTGTCACCATTTAGGCAACTTTACATCCATCATCTTCTGGCCACCGACACCTCCTCTGCACCGCGTCACCTTTCTCTTGTCGTCCATTGTCTCTTTGCGAGTAGCCAAACTTCACGTTCTCCTGCTGTCATCTTCACCCCACTGCCAGTTTTCACTTGCATACATGCTTGTACTTGTACTTGCTCACTGCCAAAATTGTCCACATGGGTCTTTCCGGGAGAGGGGAAAGAGATTCAAAAGGAACCTTGGAAAGATGACTCAATTGGCTATTGAACCGCCCAACGGCCGACACCTCCTGAAATCCCCAAACTCTGGGTGGCCTGGGAAATGATCCCACTTATGGGATCACCACAGTAAGTGAGGGAGGACAAGGTGCAGAAAAATGATTGAAGCATCAGGGCATCCGTCCCGGGATCCAACTGCATTTACCCCTGTCCCCTGTGAAGGTAATATTTGCTACCAGTGTGGCTGGCTAAATCAGAGTGGATCTGATAATATCATCACATTCTTTAAAAGCTTCACTAGTACCATTGATTACCATAGAGTTAATCTAATCTAGCCAGAAGCAATCCATATGCACATGCAGCACATACCTTTGGATGCTCCGTGCAATGATAGCATCAGGAGTTGCAGTAGTTCCTGTGGCAAGTTAGATCGTTGGACTGACGGAAGTCCCTGCCACAGCCGCAAATGAACACTCTAGGCTTTGGCACAGGCGGCCGGGGACGATTGCACATGAGGCGCCAGTCTGCATGCACATACACACACACATACACACATCCTCTCCCTTTCTCTCTCTCTCTCTCTCTCTCTCTCTCTCTCTCTTTCTCTCTCTCTCTCTCTCTCTCTTCTCTCTCTCTCTCTCTCTCTCTCTCTCTTTCTCTCTCTCTCTCTCTCTCTCTCTCTCTCTCTCTCTCTCTCTCTCTCTCTCTTTCTCTTTCTCTCTTTCTTTCTTTCTCTGCTCTCACAACATATGACCGTTGTTATAGTTCATCAACTTCACACCAATAGCGGCATGTATCTGCTGGTCAATTCTTCCCGGCTTCGGTGCTTTTTCTTAACCATGCTGACTCTGCTCCAAATGGCATCCAACTGAGCACACACAACTGCATTGCACTCAGAAATAGTACATGCACCAACCTTGATGTTTGATGCAGTTCCTTTCCATAGACTGATGATACATGTTCCACCTTGTTTTACCCCCTCCCCTCTCCCTCCCTCTGTGTGTGCAGGCCAGTGAAGTTGACAGAATTTAATGACTTTGTCACCGATATGAGAGCAAACTCTGATCTGAAATTGGCTGAAGACTTCGAGGTAAGTGTATTGTAAACAATAACTTGCAGCACCTTGTATGCCTGAAAACAGCAGTTTGATTTAGGCAGTAGCATATTGAAGCCCATAGCTAGCTAAGCTTACCACTCGCATTGTTTCTGTAGGAGGCAATGGAGAGGTGTGGTAATTAGGGCTAGTAATCATCACAAACTTGTAATAACACAGAAATATTTAAAAGTTGTGTGTGTGTGGAGGGGTCTTTGTATAGTCATGGGGCATGAAAGCAAAGGCCGATCACCCTGACTATGGTCTATGCCTGAAATTAATTTGATGAAATATGACATTTCTAAAATGTCCATCTCCCTAAATGGTCTCTTTACTACGAATAACTGTACCTTCCACCAAATTTGAGCCTGACTACTCATCAGGGTAGACATTGAAATAATAAAGGTGCAGTGAAAAGGTAGTTATGAAACTACATACTAGTATAATGGTGACAACACACAAGTGCTGCAGAATTAACATCCAGGTGTGGATATGTGAGATGAGGTGTAAAAAGAACTAGAATGTGCAAGCGATGTCTGTGTTAGAGGTAAGGTGCCTCAACAGATGATGTCACAAGACAGATGTGAGAGTAGAGAGTTGCATAGTCAAAGCAGTAGTCATGGCGACAGAAGTACACACGTAGAGTCTACACAAACACACAAGGTCCCCAGTGGAAGGGAATGTTCACGCAGAGTCTATGCAATAAGATCAATGAGCCCAAACCCGGAACTGTGGCAGAATGTAAAGTTCTGTGCAGTAAAGTGACTGTTTGGGAGAGTCATGACATATGTGCACCACCCACCATGTTTCACATCATGGACGCTCGTACAACAGTGTAAAGCGGGTGTGTTCAGTTGGATTGATAATCATTTACTTCGTAGTAGAAGGCCTGCCTTGAGTCCTGACTGTGACAGTCAAAATTTCGTTTTTTCCTGTTACAACTCTTTCAAATTGATGGCAGAAGGATGGAAAATTGGAAATTGTCAGGGAATGCCTGTAAAAGAGTTCCATCTTCAATAAGGAGGCCATGAGGAAAACAATGAACCGCGTTACAACTTACAAGTGTACTAGTAGTAATTCAGAGCTTTATGGCAGGCTGTAAACCATTGAATGCAATGCTGCAGTCCCACCATGACCGTGGGCCTGTGGGAATCAGAGGTGACGGACCGCGCCAATGAACTTGGAGCTAGCCAAAGTGCTCACTCCTTCCACCATGCAGATACAGCTACGAGCTAGCTATAGTGGAGATTGCCTATAGGTCATAGTTGTAGCTAACCAGGCTCTCTTATCTCAGCTCAGATAAAGTCGAGTTGTTGTTCCTGACCGGTAACTGTTGCCTCTTTCTGCTCTCTATTCTCCGTTGATTCTGCAGAATATTAAGAAGATTGGCAAGGAAACGCCCAGTACCTTTGCAACACTGCCCATCAACAAGCCGAAAAACCGCTACATGAACATTCTGGCATGTAAGTAGGAACCTTTTAGCTACACATAAAGAAAACCTGGCCGAGGTTCGGGTATTGGAAACAACAAAAGCACTTTGAAGTACGCAGTATTCCGTGGGTTTACCTTTGTTTTGAGTGTGGGTTGGCTGCCTTCGGACTTGTCATGACCCGGCAGCACCCGCCAGCCCCAGAAATCACAGCCGGTTCATTTTTTCAACACGTCTGCTTTTCTAAATTTCTGCATACATGTACCTCTACGTATCATTGCTTTCCCTTCCTCTGTGAGCCCCTCATGTTGAATATGATCATCAAGAACGTTTGAAAAGAGTTTGAAAAGCAAAATCTGCATGCAGCAACAAACAAATCTGAAAGGGAAGAAGACAAAGCTTCGAAGGGAGCCATGCTAACAGCACGTTTTGATTTCGTGCTTCAGAAATTTCTAAAGCTGAGCATGCTCGCAACTTGCACAATGTGCCTCATTGTGATTTTCACTCACATTCTGGCAGTGGAGATTTGACACAGCGGCGGTTTCCTTCAGAAGATGAAAAGTAATAGAGCCAGTCGATTCGATCTGTCACTAAACCCGCTCTTCGGAAATGACTTTCTACAAGACTTGAGCAACGAGAAACTCGCATGAAAATCTGCCATTGTATGCAATATCTGATCTCCTCTGGAGCAAGGTTACAGCATATCGTCATGTTGATCTGGTCATGTTTTGTGCTCTGCTTGCAGATGATCATTCTCGAGTAAAGTTGAAGCGTGCTAGTGACAACCCGCTGGTGACCGACTATATCAATGCCAATTACATCTCGGTATGACATGCTGTCTAGTTGTACGAGTCTCTTATTTTGCACGTCATCGGGTCATCCCCTGCTTCTTCTTCTTGGCTTGTCACATCAACTTGCTGCTGCCATGCAGAGATAATCTTCCTGTAGGCCCTGCCCTTAATAGTTGCAACTTATGCATATGGCTCCCACTCGCATCTGCTCACAGATATGTTGGAATTGCCCAGCCAGAGCACCTGTCAGTCATTCCCCAGTAACGACATGATCAAAGCGCTTTGGATTCTAAAACCTATTCATCTTGTTTACTCCTGGCCTCCTGGCCTGGTCTTGGTCCAGGCATGGTTGGCCATGGCCGACTCTCTTGTCTGCACATCCGGTTTAGCTATGAAAGATTTACAGAAGGAGGTTGGGTGGGTGGGTGGGGCAAGAAAGAGAATGCCTGCAACTTCTGGGATGCAAAGGAGTTATTTTGAGTAGCCTACAAACTCTATCCAAGTCCTTAACTTCACATTCGCACTACTCTGGCTTACTGAGTATTTTCACCGTTGGAATCTTACTGTACTGTACTGTACTGTACTGTACTGTACTGTACTGTACAGTACTGTACTGTACTGTACTGTACTGTACTGTACTGTACTGTACTGTACTGTACTGTACTGTACAGTACTGTACTGTACTGTACTGTACTGTACTGTACTGTACTGTACTGTACTGTACTGTACTGTACTGTACTGTACTGTACTGTACTGTACTGTACTGTACAGTACTGTACTGTACTGTACTGTACTGTAATGATACTTCACTGTACATGTACTACATCACCAGTAGGCGGGTGAGCCCCCTCCCCAAGAGCTTCATCAGCAGATTAAGAGAATGTATCCCTTACGAGGAGCATGGACCACCAGGGTAGTGGACCGGTGCTGTGTTGTGTTGTGTTACCCTCCTTTGCGTAGAATCCTGCATGTTCTACTGTCCTCGTTGGCAGATGCCACCCAGCTCGACACTAACCAGTAGAAATGCTGAGTTTATATCCTTTGCGTCTCTGTCTATACTGTGTGTGTGTGTATGTGTGTGTGTGTGTGTGTGTGTGTGTGTGTGTGTGTGTGTGTGCGTGCGTGCGTGTGTGTGTGTGTGTGTGTGTGTGTGTGTGTGTGTGTGTGTGTGTGTGTGTGTGTGCGTGCGCGCGTGCGTGCGTGCATGCGTGTTCAGGGCTATCGACACACAAACCGCTACATTGCATCACAAGGTCCATTGCCAGGTACTGTCTCTGACTTTTGGGGGATGATATGGCAGCAGGAAGCATCTGTCATAGTCATGGTAACGCAGGTCGAAGAGAAAGGCAGGGTAAGCACAGCCTCTTTATCTACAGTCTGTTAATTAAGGAAAACTTCCCCTGGCTTTGAAAACCCGTTTTGGGCTGTGTTTAGGCAACATTTTTTTACATTCACTGTTCGCATTAGACTCAGTTAGACTGGGTTTTCTGCATCCACAGGAACGCCACCACCACCGCCACCGCCCAGGATCAAGGCGCAGGTACAGCTCCTAAAGCGGTGGGAGAACAGTAGGTCAACCACACCGGCAAAGTGGTCAAAGAGCGAAAATCCCGTTCACTGCATCCATTTTTCCTCGTGCCAGGCCACGAATTCCCAATGAAAGTTAGGCTCAAAACTCGCTTCTAAATGTGAAAACTTAGTTTTTGAACCTGGTTTTCCATATATTTGCCATGGTGAACCTGCTTAGAAATGGTACGTACATGTATTTGACCCAATTTTGTAAAGCCTGGCTGAATTTCTAATTCATCAGGTGTGCAAGAATGGACTCGGATGAAGAGCCAAGGATAAATTTATAGTAAAGAAAAAAGGACCAGCCAGTTACTTGTAGAACGTCAATACCGTCGGTCAGTGCCGTGCAATGTTATCGCATGAGCTGATTGTTTAGTAACTAGTGGTGTTATTGGACATTGTAGCGTAACTTGTCGTTTCTTGGTCCTTTTTTCTTTACTATAAATTTATAATTCCTTGCCCTTTGACTTTTCCATTCTCTGACATGGCAAGGGGGGATTGTAGCACGGGCAATGCTCCGTGGGATACACAATTATTTCACCAGATCTACCTCTATACGTTCAAGACACCAAAAAGCGCAGTGGTGGTGGTGGAGTCAATCATCACATACACATTTCAGCGGCCGAATGCTGCTGCTTACTTTCTTATCTCGTCCAGAAGTATTTCATGCAGTGAATGCACTGTCTTAATAACTGTACATGTATCTGTGTTCCCTGGGCATGTCATTTGCAGATCAAGTGCCATCCATATTGGCCTATGGATACGGACGATGTTCTCGAGTGCTGTGGTGTGGAGGTGAATCTGGTGTCCGAAGTGAAAGAAGATGACTGGATTAAGCGGGAGATCAACCTTGTCCAGGTACGGCGCCACTCGATGGCTACCCCGGCTCATTCCCCTTCCTCTCTCTCTTTCTCTCTCTCTCTCTCTCTCTCTCTCTCTCTCTCTCTCTCTCTCTCTCTCTCTCTCTCCCCCCCCCCCCCCTTACGCAAAACCCACAACACTTTCTATAGCCAAGCATGTATCTCATGTTATAACCGTTTTATGATTGCATGGATATTATATTATTATTATTATTATTGAGGCCTTTATGGCCGAAACAGCTTGCTGTCTACAGCATTGGGTATTATTATTATTATGTCAGTATGCTCGTACGGTAAAACTTTGATAAGATGTATCCCCCCCCCCCCCCCCCGCCTGGGCCTGTAAAGTAAGTGCTTATGAGCGTTTAAATACTAGTGCACGCTTATGAGGGGGGGGGGGGGGGGATCTGTGCCACGGAAAAAGGACCGTGCGAACCAGGTGTTTTTTTCTTGCGCGCGTGCATACTATTATTATACAAGTAGGTACATGTATGTACATGTATGTACATGTATGTGAGTAGGTACATGTATGTGTAGTACATGTATGTGTAGTACATGTATGTGTAGTACATGTATGTGAGTAGGTACATGTATGTGAGTTGCACTGTACTGTATTCTGTATAGCATGTTTTGTTAGCTCTCGCTTTTTTTTCTATTTCTCTGTCTGCTGCTCTATCCAGGGTGACAATCTGAGGACACTAACCCAGTTTGCTTTCCTCTCCTGGCCTGATCACGGCGTACCGCAGTCAACCGATGCTCTGCTAAAGCTGGTCTTTGCCGTGCGCAGACAGGTGACCGAGTGCGTGGACAATCCCGAGAAGCCCGTGATCGTCCACTGCAGCGCTGGTGTTGGCCGCACTGGCACATTCATTGCTGTGGACACCTGTGTGGAGCGGCTGGCCAACAAAGATTACATTGACCCCTACGCCGTTGTCTGCTCCATGCGAGAGCGTCGCAACCTGATGGTTCAGACCGAGGTAAGGGCCAAGTTACTATTATTATTATTAAAAAGCTTTAATACGTGGAGATAAAAATGTAATCAACACAATAAATAGAGTAAGCTGCGCACTCAGTACAAACACCATTAGCAAAACCTGTTTTCATGTAAATAAAGATCTTTATTTACATGAAAACAAGTTTTGCTAATGGTGTTTGTACTGAGTGTGCAGCTTACTCTATTTATTGCGTTGATTATTATTATTATTATTATTTTAATAACGAAGGTACGTGTTGGGTTGTAAGTATCCACGCAAACACACATCCAGTCAAAATAAGGCACTTGTCAAAGTATCCGAACGTTTTCGGTCCCTTCTCATCACACACGACAAGTGCCTTATTTTGACTGGATGTGTGTTTGCGTGGATACTTACGACCCAACACGTACCTCCGTTATTAAAGTATTATCCGCCTCCGACTTCTTGTAAAATTATTATTATTATTATTATTATTCAAAGAACTCTTCCTCTCCTCTCCTCCATGCGCTCTCACAGCCGACTCACTGCTACCCTCAGTAGCCAGTACACACACCAACCAAGGAAGGGTTGCAGGTAGATACTGAAATTCCTCCTGACAGCTGTTTCGCCTTCATAAGGCTCATCAGAGAAGGTGATATTGAATAGGATGATATCAGGTGGAGATGGTGCATTTGAAATAATAATTATTATTATTATTTGAAACTCGGATGTTGAGCCATAAATAAATGTAGAAGAGAAAAGGACATATGGATACGAGTTAGGAGTAACTCTCCATCACTTTCCATGGTCTTTCCATAACCTTGAACCTTCCAAGTTGGAAGGCTGTCGGTTAGCGCTACGGAGATGTGTTGAAGCTAGGTGTCAGGACGTCGAATGTTTCAGTACTCTGTCAGTATTGTGCCTAGTTATTGCACTTTCTGACTGTATATAGTATCATGTTACAGTGATGGAGAGTTACTCTTAACTCGTATCCATATGTCCTTTTCTCTTCTACATTATTATTATTATTATTGTAGATTTTGTCTCTTTCCCTCAAACTAGTGAAAATTGTAGAAAGGAAAAGACATTATGGATACGAGTTAAGAGTAACTCTCCATCGCTGTAACATGATACTTTATACAGTCACGGAAAGACCAAAGAGGGGAAGGCAAGCGCAACGAAAACGAGCAAAAGCTACAGTCCCAACGGAACAAAGAATGTCGATTGTTACTGGACGATGACAAGACCAGTACAATATTTGACAAAGCGGTCTAACTACAATTCGAAGCAGCAAAGCAGCACACCACCCAACTTGGGTGGGTCATAAATATCAAAGATAAGTAAAGAAATGGGAAGCTTTGCGAAAACGAATTGTACAAGCCGAAAGCCAAACTCCTACAGTACTCCTCATGCATGACATTGTGATGGACTAGTTGACTACAAAACGGAGATGTGTTGAAACTAGGTGTCAGGACGTCGAATGTCTCAGTACTCTGTCAGTTTTGTGCCTAGTTATTGCACTTTCTGACTGTATAAAGTATCATGTTACAGTGATGGAGAGTTACTCTTAACTCGTATCCATAATGTCTTTTCCTTTCTACATTTATTTATGGCTCAACATCCGAGTTTCAAATTATTATTATTATTATTATTATTATGCTTGTTCGCGTTGACATTACCAAGCAAGCTTGGCTAGTCTTCGCATAAGCCAAATGAACAAAAGAAATGAGGAACGGGCGAGGCCAATGAGGTGAACACACGCGTGCAACTGCAGAATAGGCAAAAGGAATACCGTAGAATCCCGCGGATAAGCCCATGGCTTATCTATTTCACAAGGACATTTCGGTGGGCTTATACAAGAACATGGGCTTATACGCCGACCCCAAAATTGTGCTATTGAAAAGTACCGAGGAAGTGAGAAGTACCTTGCTGAAAATCACTGTGCAAACAAAAACAACCGATGATTGTGTTGAAATGTTCAAACAAAAAAACGAAATAACCTACATGTACTACGTACATAGTACGACCTAGGCCCATGGGAGAGAAAAGAGCAGTACGTGGCATGTGGCCTCTAATTTCCTAAAAACTTTGAAATTCTCCGTGAAGTCCAAATTTGAAATTGCAATTTGTATTTGCTCGCAGTGGACATAGTTTGATGCGCTCCCCATGATATCAAGCGAATGGCCGAGGGCCCTCTTGATTGGTACCGTACTTCCGCACATATAAGCGCATGTGCTTATGTCCGGATATAAGCGCACCTCTCAATTATAAGCGCATGTGCTTATATGTGAACACTATTGGTGAAAAGGCGGGAGCGAAATATACCACTACAGTCCATTTCAAAACTATAGACGCGTACCTAGGCAAAAACCGTTATGCCAGCATCTATACCACATAAAATTTGTGATCACTTTGTGCATAAATTTTTCCAAATTGGGCGTCTGTTATCCAATCCTTTAGAAACTATATGAGAGTAATTGTGGAGCGATCCTGAGCAATATTCCGAAAACTATTCTCAAAAAGTTCCAGCCAAATTTGAAATATTTCAAAAACCCTACGCGTCTATAGTTTTGAAATGCACTGTAAGTAGTGTGATTACACCATTGTTTAGGACACAGACAAACCTGTATTGTGCATATAAGCGCATGGGCTTCTACCCGAACATGTTTACACAGCCAAAGATCTTTTTTGCAGCAAATTTTCGCTTATAAGCGCATGCGCTTATATGTGGGGAAGTATGGTATGAGCTGCCAGTATGATGCAAGCCAGATGTGAATTGATCGAAGAAGGATAGATTTACCATCACTGTGGATAAGAGTCATACTGTAGCTCAGTTGGTTAGAGCATTGCTCGCGAATAGCAAGGTCCCTGGTTCGAGTCCCGGTGGTGTGACTGATGATTTTTCTTTCTTTCATATCTGGCTTGCAAGTGTTGAGTTTCGGAGAGAAAAGAGCAGTACGTGGCATGTGGCCTCTAATTTCCTAAAAACTTTGAAATTCTCCGTGAAGTCCAAATTTGAAATTGCAGCCCACATGTAACTGGGCATTCTCCATCTGCATTCAATAATCAAAACGAAACTCCTTCAAACCCACCCACCCCCAAACGAAAACTTTTCGTTTTGAAAAACAATTGGTAACCTTGGAGCAAAATGAAGTAACTATTCTTGTCATCCGATAATGTGCTCCCTGTTTGATAACAAAAGTAAAGCTGTGCTGAGGAGCTCTAACAGAGCGAAACAGTTGCTGTCCACAGATTTGAGTATTATGCTCCCTAGCAGTCAGCAATGTCGTTAGGTTGAGCACTCTTACCTTAGCGCGAACCCTTGCCGCTCGCCTTGTGCAACGCTCACTGCTCTTGGAGCATTTCGAGCACTCTTGGCGGGGTTTGCAGCTCTTTATAAAAATGCTTTGCTTCACGGAAACGTATTTCATTGCCAAGAGCTGCGCTTCGGTCCTCTGAGCTGTGCTGAGGAGTTCTAACAGAGTGAAACAGTTGCTGTCCACAGATTTGAGTAACAAGTAAAGAGTAAAGAGGGAGAGGACATTGCTACTTTGTGTTATTCTATTAACACTACGTCAGCCAGCCTTACACAGATAAATGCCTTGTAAATAGCCGTCGATTTCTTCTTCTTTTTCTTTTTCCCGTGAGTGATACAGCACTGGTCTGCTGGGTGAATGTGGAGTTTGTCTTCAACAATGCGTGCTGTCAATATGTCCTTCTGTGTCTCAGGAGCAATACATCTACATATACCGCTGTATGGCGAATGTATGTGAACGAGTGCTGGCACTACGCAATAATGACGACTTGGCTGGTGGTGAGTCTCGAGCTGTGGCAACATCTTACCAAATCCGTTCACTTAAAATTCTCTTTTCAATCGTTACTCGACTAGTGTTTGCATGCAGTGGATGGTGGTCCTGATGGTCTTAAGCTCCTCTTCGGCTACTGATTGCCAGCTTTCTGTACTGTATCACTGTATGATTCCCTCATGAGCTTCTGACTTCTGGTCTTTAGTAGCTTCTAACTTTTCAGTTTTGACTGCTCAACTCATTATTGGGGGCTATTTAGCCGTCACGAAGCTGTGCTCTCGGCATTGCAATGATTCACTTCAATGCAAACAAGCACAGTTTCTACTGGCAACTATACATGTTATCTCGGCTGTTGAAATGAGTCACACCGGTTGCCTGTGCTACTACCTGTAAATAGCCTTTTTTCGCTGTGGCTCCCACCTGTGCTCTCTTCCCCTCCCCCCCCCCCCCCCCCCCACCTCCCACTAAGATATCTTTTCCTGTTTCTCTGTGAATGCAGAGGTGAACCGTGAACAGCTGATGGATCAAGTCGCTGAACAACTCATCGGCAAGTCAGCAGGTCCGAAGAAGGAGTTATCCGTGCATCAGAACACACTGATGGCAGATTGTTCACTGGGGCGTACTTCCTACAAGTTAGGCGACGACAATGGAGACAGTCCCAAGAAAGTAGCATCAGTGTCCGCCATGACTTTTGTAGATGACTCGTCGCCACCAGCAACTGAACCAAGTCGCTTAGCAGACCTGACGCAAAGGAAGCAGGGTGCAGGCGAGGACTCAACGGTGCCACGAATCATTGACCTCTAACCCATAAAAAACCCAGTCTCTCTCTCTCTCTCTCTCTCTCTCTCTCTCTCTCTCTCTCTCTCTCTCTCTCTTTACAACCATGTACAGATGTTTTCTACATTGAGACCTGTTTTTAATAGCATACTTGATAGTACTACTTGGCAGTAGTAGTAGCAGTAGTGTTTTCGTGCCACTTTTCCCCGTTTCTTACTGCCAAGCCAGTTCTAATGTGCACCCATCGTTGGATTTCTGGTATTTCTGTAATGATAATTTTTGCCATCTCTAGATGTCATGCAGCCACGCCGAAAGACGGGTATTTTCAAGAGCCTCTATTTTACAACAGATACCAATTAGGCACTCTTCACACGTTCCGTAACCTGCTTACTATTATCTGGTGCACCTCAACAAGAGTAATTTTACCGACTTTTTCAGTCGACTTTGTCTATGTCAGCAAGCAATGCTAGTTAGACCCCGCATTTAAAAGCCTTCCCTAGCGCTAGCAGTGTGCCTGTCAGGTATACAGGGTAATTTGAAGCCATAGATCATTCCTAATATTTGTAATGAGTCGCTTACTGTGTTTATGTTTGTGTCTAGTGCTGTCAGCATGATTATTTTTGCTCAAAACTACTTCAGTATATTGTGTATTCTCTGATTGAAGAGTGAGAATCAAGATTGTTTAGTATATGACAATGATGCCCTTACCGTGCTTACTGTTTGCATTGTGCTGGTAAGCATTAGTTATAGTGTACTTTTAAAAACAATGTCGTCTTATACCTGTATCACAGACGTGTTTCTGTGTGTGTGTGTGTGTGCGTGTGTATGTGAGTGTGTGTGTGTGCGTGCGTGTGTGTGTGCGTGTGTGTGTGTGTGTGTGTCCCATATGGTGCAGTGGTATGTGCAGCGATTTCCAATCGATAGGTTGCGGGTTCGATTCCCGACAATTATGGTCACACACGTCTTTCTTCTCTTTCTCAGACTCCTCCTGACTTTTCTTTCATTCTCCTGGGTGGTTACCAACAGCCAGTGCATGCCGGAGTATGTGGTGTGATGTGTGTGCGTGAAAGAAATGAAAAAATGAAAAAAAAGACCAAAAAGTAGGGATTCACTGGCCAGAAAAAGCCACTTCATAGCTGTGTGGTGTAGACCAGGCTGAATAGTGGCGGTCAATTCTTCAGCCTTGCAAGCTTTTTGAATGGTGCAATCCCAGCACAAGCTGCTATGGCTTCTGCTGTAGCATCGCTATCATCGCCTCCGGCGATGGGCGTCCAATGGTCCAATGGTGTGTGCGTGTGTGTGTGTGTGTGCGTGTGTGTGTGTGCCCATGAATGGTTGTAACAGATGTGACAACTGTTGACAAGGCAGACCGCCACCGGCGGAAGCAGGTTTTGATTGGTCCGGCCATACCCTAGTCTTTCATATGCTGTGTATGATATCGAGGGTATACACATGACACACCTCTCAGCAGTAAACACACGTTGGTGACCAAAAGGTTCTGTCCCCGGGGAAAATCGCGATTCCGCGGCCGCGTTTTTTCCGCGTTTTTGCGATTTTTTAAAAGACCGCGTTTTCCGCGATTTTCCCGCGTTTCTTGAACTTTTTTGTTGCACTACACGTACACACATGTGCACTGTTCGGTTGTGAGCCGTTGACGTCACAAACTGGTCAAGTACAGAGTCTAGTCTACGTGTACAGTGGTGTGTAGGGCGCGCGCTCCCTAGCATGCACATGGCACATGACGGGCTCCTCAGTCACTGTGGTGGCGCAGAAAGCATCCTGCTCTGCGCTTGACTGCAAACTTGCCGCATATCAATAATATTCACCGCATTCACCGCCCATAACCATGTTGGTTTAGTTTTCTTCGATCTCGCAAAGGCCTTCGACACTGTTTGGCACAGGGGTCTCTTAGCTAAGCTGCGAACAGTATATCGCATTGATGGCAAGGCTATCGGCTGGCTCTCATCGTATCTCTCTAACCGACATCAGCTTGTACGCCTCTCAACTGTGTTATCGGAGCCTTTACCCGTTACTTCTGGAGTCCCCCAGGGTTCAATCCTTGGGCCACTGCTATTTCTCCTGTATATTAATGACCTCCCCGATATTGCCCCTGGTGTCAGCCTTTTCGCTGACGACACAGCTCTGCTTTGCTGCAATGCTTGCCCTATACGCCTGCACGAAGCCATGCAAGATAGCATTGGGAAAGTTATAACCTGGATGCATGATTGGAAGTTGCAGCCAAACGTTGATAAAACGGCAGCTATGTACATTTCCCCTTCTCCCCCTTCCCTGCCACTTTGTTTTCCTTCTTCAAGTGTTGCTATTCGTATTGTTGAAGAGCATAAGCATTTTGGCGTTATTATTGACTCTAAATTGTCGTGGTCACCCCATGTGCAGTATGTCAGCAAGCGCACAAGCTCCATCCTTGGGGCTCTTCAAGCCCACTGTAGACATCTTACTGTAGACATCTTCCTCTTTCTTGCAAACGCTTGTTTTATCGTTGCTATATATTGCCCTTACTTGACTACTGTGATACTGCTTGGTCTGGCATAACTACTACTGTATTGAACAAGCTAGAAACCCATAACCGCATGCTCCTTAAAATCTTATTTAGCAAAGATCGTCGCTTTCCCTCCGCTGGTCTTTACGAAATTGCCAAGATCAGTCCCCTTTCCACTCGACATAAGTACCACCTCTGTGTTCTCATACATAAAATATTACTAAATAAAATACCCTTGCATATGCAGGCTTATAATTGGTTCTCCGAAACACGGAATACCCGGAACTCACTCAGTCTCCCACGCGCTGCCTCCACCCTATTCACTAGATCCCCGATCTTTGCTGGCTATGTGTTTTGGGCAACATTACCAACGCAGGCCAAGACCAGCACGTCGATGGATAATTTTGTTGCTAAAATCTCTGCTCAATTATAGGTTTCATGTATATCCTGCTGGTTTGTCTCCTCCTTTGCCTTCTTTGCCTCTTATTTGTATTCTTTTATCTGTTTTACTGCTGTGGTTGGCTTTCACCCTTGTCTCAGTTTTATTGGCCGTCATCATGATGTGCCATGAGATAATGATATAAATACAAAATACAAAAAAAATATTTACCGCATATTTACCGCAAATTCACCGCAAATTATGCCATATTTACCCGCAAATTACACCGCAAATTCTGGGATTTTTTCCGTGATTTTCCCCGGGGACAGAAGGTTGGTCAGCCTGGGACTACCCAGACCGGTTCTGCCGGGCCTGCTGCAAGAAGGAGCGCAAAGAACTTCATAAAATTAAAAACCAGCTGCAGCATAAATGTGTAAGTTCTTGCATGCTGCTTCGAGCTTCAATGTTTCTTGAATGAATGACAGTGAATGCACATGTGATGGAGAGAAAAAACTTAAAAGAAAAGTCAAGCTTGTTGACATTGTGTTTTGCTCTCTTTGTGCAGGATACACCTCAGTTGCAAGCTTAAAACTCGGTGCTCAGTTTCTCACGGCTGTACTGCGAGTTCGCGATGTGATCTTCCAATATACGTTGCTGGCGGAATGGCATGGCTTACTCGACTGGCTGGCCGGACAAAAACTTTCGTATGCACCCTTAGCTGTTCTTGAACTTCACCTCTATTGATGACATTTGTACCGGTTCTTTTAAAAGTAGGTTGATGGGTGATTCTAAAGTTTTAAAAGCCATCGAGGGCCCCTGGTTGGTGTCCTGGTGGGGACAGTCAGTTTCTTCTTCAGACTTTTCCCGTTTGCAACTTTCCCTCAAACTTACGAGTATTCAGAGTAGTAAAGTTTAATCTCATATTTTTCTGATGAAGTCATATTGAGCAATGACCATGTATCTTGTCAGGTCTTCCGGCAACTTGGGAGTCCATTTCCCATGATTTCTAGTTCTTGATCTGACAGGCTTGACTATACTCGCTGAGTCCTCAATGTAATCAGACGGACATTGGATCTTCAGATCATCACAATCATAGTTTTCTGAGTGTGGAAACAGGATCAGCAACCATATCCTCATAGCGCACATCCACAGTTCGGTAGCGTGCCTTGACTGTGGCCACAGCAGTCACTAATCTCGAGTACGTCTTGATGGTACAGCTACCCTTCCTGGGTCACCCAAGACTTCTTTCGCCTCAACGACTGTTCTGTTGACGATTTTCCTCCCAGTGCCGCCTCGAGGTAGGTCACAAACAGCACCTTCGAGAGTGCATCTCCCTGTGGAGTAGATCTACCAATCGTGGTTGGAAATGGCTCTGAGCGTCGCGAGCCGATGCGAGCTGTGAGTACTGTGTCTGACAGCAGAACCCGCACCAAGCGCTGGCTATCCATGGGCAGAAACTTCCGGGAACCAAGAACATCCATGAGCCTGCTCCGGTCGATGGTGTCGAGCGCACGAGACATGTCAATGCCCAGGATATCAATGGAGCACTGGTACTTTTGCACTGTCGCCGCTAGTATAACCACCTATGTGCCCAGACCACATCGGCCGTTGACCTCTTTGGACGGAAACTTGCCCACTGTGGCATTCACTCAGGAATGCCTCAACAGGTTGCTTCACCCGCTGAAGGGTTAGCAGGGGCAATGCTTTCCTGAGACTGTGAGAGATAAGAGAATGATAGGGCGCAGGTTTGACAGAGGGCCTTTCTTTTTATTCGGTTTCTGCAAAGCAATCAGCGTTCCATGTCCAAGAGTTATTGGTTGGTGTGTTTCAAACATTCTGTTCCAGGCTCGCGAGCGCCGATATGAGAGTCTCGCCTCCGTATAATAGTTTTAGTTTTAAAATACTATTTGAGAAGCTCTGCTGGCACTGCATCTGGGCCACAAGCTCTGCCATTACTGAGGCGTCCAATGCTTCGTTGCAGTTCCTCTTTGGTCATGGGATTTTCAAGAGGTCTTGGGTCTCCGACGAATGCTTCTATTGGCTTTGATGTTTCGAATTGGTCACGGAAGTGGGTTCCCACAGCATCATAAAGCCTCTTTTACGGGCAAACAGAATACAATACAAATCAAATCAATTCAGGAAAATTCAATTCAATTCAAAGTCGTGACACATCCGGTAAAAAACAGCAAGAAATAATATCTCGGTGCAAAAGAAGAAAAAGGAAATAAAAAGCCGCTTCATTTTAAAGGACCAAATGAAGAAAAGCAAAGAAATACCCACATCAGCGCTAAATTGCACCTTAAATTATAAACAAAAACATGACGCGTCCATTAGCATTGAGGACACTGCCATTAGCGAGGTTATACACACCACTGTTACATCTGTCCCTCAGCCATGGCTAGTGGGGGCAATGCATTTACCGGTCGATGGTATGCAGAGCGAGCCCCTCTGATGCACATAACTGCAGCTCGGAGGAGTGCAAACGACAGACGGCATCTGACATAGGCCATAACCTCGCCATAGCCTCATAGGGCTTGCCATCATGCTGTGCCAGCATAGCGCATAATCGCTTCAAAAACCGCAAGCATTCTGGGGATGCACTGCCAGCCGTGGTGAAGACAAGCGGGGTAAAGTTACCATGGTCAGCATTGACAATCCTTTCGTTGTACTGCAGCTTCTTCTGCCTCTCGTGCTGGAGAAGGAGGTCAGCGATGGGCTTCTTTGCGTACGAGGCGGCGTCAGGATGAAAGACTCGAATGTCAAGGAAAGTGTTCTGTGCCCTTGTCCAAAACCCACGTATGCGGACGTCAGATCGGGCATCATGTGCCGTGTTGGTGCTGGCAGCTCTGAAGACTTCGCCCTCCAGCGGCGCGAGCAATGGCTCCACAGAAACGTCAGGGCACACC